AGCTGCTAGCAGAACTCAGAAGAGCAGGGACTTGCACATAAAAAGAAAACAAGCTCAGCCACTATTGTCTAACAGAACAACATGAACTGAGTGCAAAAGCTAACGCTGGCTGTCACACAGAATGAGATCTACAGTTGTGGAAAGCAGAAGTAATACAAATAAACATTACCTTCAAATATGGCAGCACTTGTTTTAAAAAGGTGATTGTTTTAAAAATTTGATTGTTTAATTCTGGCTTTCTCTGCTGTTGTAGATATTTCATATTTAGCTAAGAATTTCTAAAATGAAATTTGCATAAGTCCCCCTTCAGTATCCAATTAAAGCTTTCTCTGATAAAAAAAAACCCTTACAGATACAATATAAATTGTTTGTTTGTTTGTTTTTACTGAGATCTGTTTGTCATTGAATTTGCAAGTCTGCTGGAAGGTGACCTGTTGGATTTAATGTTTAGGCTAAAAATATGTATGTTTTTTGGCTAAAAATACAGCCTCAGTAAGAATGTGAATAACAGTTAAGGGCTCTGGAACAATTATCCTACCAATACCCAGCTTTAGTAGTCCTTGTTATGTCCCTTACTGTTAAAATTCATTGTTTAATTCTATAATTTTCTTTAATGGTGTTACTTGGCACTGGTACTTTCCTCATTGCCATCAGGCCTTCTTCTTTGACTTTACACTTTAGTACATCAACCAGTTATGAATCCACTTAGAATAACAGTGTCTAGCCCACAGTTCATAGGAGACGTTGTCAGAAGCCTTAATGAAATCAAACTATACTACAGCCACAGCACTCACTAATCAACCAGCCTTGTAGCACCATCAAAAAGAGAGAGAAAGAGAGAGATGTGATTAGTTTGGCATGATTTGTTTTTGAGAAACCCATGCTGGTTCTTAGTAATCACAGCATTCCTTTCTAAGTGTGCACAGACAGACTGTTTAATGATCTGCTCTAGAACCTTTCATGGTATTGAAGTCAAGCTGACCAGGCAGTAGTTGCTCAGGTCGGGTATTTTGTCTCTCTCTCTCTCTCTCTCTTTCTCTTGCTGAAGATGAGGTTATTGTCCAGTCTCCTTGGACATATCCTATCCCCTAAGAATTCTGAGAGATTATTGACAATGGTTCTGAGAGGATATTTGCACCTTCCTTTTGTACTCTTGGATGAAGTTTGTCTGGCCCTGGAGGCTTCAATTCGTTTAGAGTAGTTAGGTATTCCTTTACTACTATTTACTGATTCTGGGCTGCAGTGTCCTTATTGGATCATTTCTTTTATTTTCACCAGTTAGGGCTCTCTTTTCTTTTTAGGAGAACACTGAGGCAAAGAAGATAGTGAATGGTTTGGCCTTGTCTCTGTCTGCTATTAGCATTTTATAATCTTCTCTAGGCAGTGGCCATACTTTCCCCTTGTTCTTCTTCTAGCTCTGGACATTACCAGTCCCCCTCCTTTTAAAAATTATCTTTAATCTTGTTAGCAAGTCTCCGCTCATTCTAAGGTTCAGCTTTTCTGACTTCCCATACAAGTACTGAATCTTCATTCCTCTTTGGTGATTTTCACTCTCCTCCATTTCTTATATGTGTCTCTTTTAAATTTCATCTCATTTGAAAGTTATTTGTGCGTCCACCCTGCTTTCTTTAGACACCTCCTACTTATCTTCCTTCTGAATTTTTTTGCAATTGTACCTTCAGATTATCACCCATGCATCATGAACTCCCTTCCCTTTGAGCATATTTGATATCACCCAGTATTTCCCTAAGCCTTCTGAAATCAGCTTTCTGTTTAAGGACACCATTCCTCAAATTTTGTATACAGGTTTAGTATCTCTTATCCCAAAATCCAAAACATTTTTCACAAGTGGCTGGGATAATGATATCTTTGCCTTCTGTTGGTTCGATGTACACAAACTTTGTTCATGCACAACGTTACCGTATATACCGTATTTTCCGGCGTATAAGACGACCCGGCGTATAAGACGACCCCCCCATTTTTTCCAGTCAAAATATAGAGTTTTAGCACCTCTATCCTCCTTATCCTTATACCCGGCATATAAGACGACCCCCCCCCACTTTAACCACAGATTTTGTAGGTTAAAAAGTAGTCTTATACGCAGGAAAATAAGGTACTCGACTATACGTTGACCTCATGTATAAGTCAAGGAAAGGTTTGGGGGCAAAAATTATGGATTTTGATATGACCTGTGGATAAGTTGAGGGTAAAACTTAGAGGCATGTAATGAAGGATTAAAGGACAAAGCAAAGGAAAACAGTGCCAAAGAACTTACCAAATTCCAGCAGGCATAACTATTTGTGCCCATACTAAAGACTGGATGGAGAGAGAGAGAGAGATTTAAAGTACAGTACTTAAATTGACCTGTGGATAAGGCGTCTCAGGTTTTTTGGGGTCAATTTTTTAACTTAAACTTCTAGACTTATACATGAATATATACACTATTTAAAATATTATGTATAAAATTACATTCAGGCTATGTGTATCGGGTGTATATGAAAAATGAATTTCATGTTTAGACTTGGGTCACATCTTCAAGATACCTCATCATATATACACACACACACAAATATTCCAGAATCTAAAAAGAAATTAAATTCAAAACACTTATCATCCAAAACATTACAGATAAGGGATAATTAACCTGTACTTGAATGAAAAAACAAAAACAATCATGATGTTTGTTTCCTAATTCAGGTTGGGGACAAGCAAACGTTTGGAATTTTGACCAGGATTCATATATGACCTAGGTCAGAGCATTGAATTAGGCCCCAAATGAAATGGGAGGGCTTACAAAGCTCTTCTAGAAACCAGCAGTGCAACACAAACTTGCTTGTTTACATACTAAAGATCTGCCAAAAATCATTATATTGATGTTGTGCCTGGTGGCAGTTAAGTCCTTCATTGTCTTTGTTCTAATTCTTGCTTAAGCAACTATATGGGATATTTGTAGATATTTTTTTTTTTTGCAGTTCTCAGATTTTTTAAAGTTACAATTGTAAATAAATAATGTTTTTGAAATATATATAAATAGTGAGTGAATGGAAGGATAATAGTGCCTGTCATTGGGGAAACTAAAATATACAGTTGACCCTCCTTATCCATGGATTCTTGTATCCATGGATTCAAGCATCCATGTCTTGAAAATACTTTTTTAAAAGTATACATTCCAAATAGCAAACCTTGATTTTCATTTTATATAAGGGACACCATTTTGCTAGGCCATTGTATTTAATGGAACTCGAGCATCTACGGATTTTGTTATCCACAGGGGGTCCTGGAACCAAACCGCAGTGGATAACAAAGACCCACTGAATACTAGTTTAGTCTGTCCTTTAAATATTTTTCATTTATTATTTACCTCTCACTCTATATCCAAAGATTTCAAGGTGATATATCAGCTATACTTTATAATGACCTATATCTGTACTTCCCCATTCAACTACTACAATTAATCATAATTCAAAACTTTCACTTGGTCATTAGCATGTAAATTGTCAAGTTCTGGGATATAATATATTTGAAAGAAGTAGATTTCTCATTGAAATAGAAAAGGGACATCAGAGTTCTCTTACTGATAATAGTTTCCCGGCAAAACCGTACTTGGATGAGGAAAAACAGATTGAATGGATGATTGGATGAGGAAAAACAGATTGAAGTTGAATCCAGACAAAACGGAGGTACTCACGGTTACAGGCCTGAAACCAGATTTGGGAATACAGTCTCCAGTCCTGGATGGAGTCACACTCTCCTCTAAGGACCGTGTTTGCAGTCTGGGGGTAGTTCTAGACTCGTCGCTTCACATGACCAGTCAGGTGAATGCAGTGGTCAGGAGTGCCTGTTATCAGCTTCGGCTAATACGCCAACTGCGCCCTTATCTGGACATGAGGGATCTGGAAACTGTGATACATGCCCTGGTAACCTCACGCCTGGATTACTGCAATGTGGTCTATGTGGGGCTACCCTTGTGCCTAACCCAGAAACTACAATTGGTTCAAAATATGGCAGCCAGACTAATTACTGGAACATCTAGGAGGGAGCACATAACACCGGTGCTTAAATCCCTCCACTGGCTGCCGATTGGTTTCCGGGCACAGTACAAGGTGTTGGTTTTAACCTTTAAAGCCCTACATGGCTTGGGTCCATTTTATCTCAGGGACCGCCTCTTCCCGTATGATCCCCCCCGTGCCCTTCGGTCCTCTGGGAGGAATCTGCTACAGCCAATAAAAACTAGGCTGTCTCAGACCTCCCAGAGGGCCTTTTCTGCGACCGCTCCCAGACTATGGAATGGCCTGCCAGACGAGATTCGTCTTATTACTACGCTTGCTGCTTTTAAGAAAGCAGTAAAGACGGATCTCTCCCGGCAGGCCTTCCCAGAATAATCTCCTGTCTCCAGGGGAGATGGTTTTTAGTGTTCCTTGTACTATGGTTGCCCTATTGTTTTGTTGGTTTAGTTTGTCTGGTTTTGTCTTGTTTTATTACGGCATTTTAATTTCCTTGTAGTTTAATCTTGTTTTAATGGGATGGGTGGGGAGATACTGGGATGAGGGAATGTTTTTAACTCTGTATGTTTTAAAATGCTGTAACCCGCCCCGATTGCTGAGCAGAGGGGCGGGCTATAAATAAAATTTATTATTATTATTATTATTATTATTATTATTATTATTATTATTATTATTATTTAATGGCGAGATGGAACTCACTTGTCTGTTACAGCAGTTCCCAGTCTTTGATCCTCCAGATGATTTGGACTTCAGCTTTTGTAATTCCTGACTGTTGGTCAAGTTGGTTGTGACTTCTGGGAGCTGAAGGCAGGAAGAAATGAAGGACCAAAGGGTGCAAATAATTGAATCAAGTTTTTCATATTACACACATAAACATACTACATATCTCATTTTATAGCAGATATTTCAAAAGTTGCTCTAGTCAAAATAAGTCATGTTTAAGGATGTTTGGACAGAAGTTCCAACTAGTAACTGAAAAGTCTGGCAGGGGATTATCATAGCATGGCATAGTGGTTTGAGTGTTAGACTACAATTCTGGAGAACAGTGTTCAATCCACTGGGTGATCTTGGGCAAGTTACATGCTCTCAGTCTCAGGAGAAGGCAATGGAAAATCTCTGAACAAATCTTTCCAGGAAAACCCCATGATAGTTTCACCTTAAGTCAAAAGCTACTTCAAGGCACACAATAGCAACAACAGTATATTAAAAGTGGTAGAGGGCCTGAGTGATTCATCTTTCTCTGTACAAATGAAGGCTTAAGGTGGCTTTTGCATTCCAATAATTGTAAGCATTCAAATGAGCAAAAAGCAAATTGCATTTTATTTTCAACCCACGATTTGCATGCTTATGGTTTGAATGTAGACTGCCTTTTTTCTTTTGCTTCAGATGAAAAACATCTTAAATAGACTGCACTCCTGCAGTATTTAGTATCAAAAATTCACATTTTTCAAAATCAGAATGGGCTTTCACTCACCCCTCCTTCCACTCACTACTCCTATTAGTTGTAAAGTCCTGCAGACCGTTGTCTTAATAGGATTTGTTTGGCTTATTAGGTTGCTTGTCACGAGCTGGAAATCATATATTGGAGTTTGAATGCAGTATATGACTTAACACTGAATTTAGGCGGGATTATGGTCAAAGGTAGGCCGGCTCCATCGGGCCTAGCCTGAAAAGAAGAAGGCCCTCCCTCCATCCACCATCATCTGGAGGGAGGGAAGGCAGAATGCGTGCTGTCTTAATCTTATGTTTATTTCCATATTGTATTTATTTTATATTTGTAAGTCGCCTTGATTGCTTAGGCAAAAGGTGGGATATAAGAATATTATTATTATTATTATTATTATTATTAGAGATGAATCCTATCATCTGAGTGCACTCATTGCTGAATTCATCCTCTCCCTAATCACTCAAGCAGTTACAGTAACCTGTGTTTTTACCTTGTTTTTACCTTTTATCTTTTATTCTGTATCCCCTTTTTACCTGTACTGGTCTATGATCATCATAAAGATGAACTGAACTGAGTTACAGTGAAGTAGTTGCTCCGAGGCAGTACTGGAGTGTTGACTACTAACCCTCCATTAAACTTTCTTTGAAAAATAAATAGTATTCTGCTGTTCTCAATGACAATAGATGGAAGTTGAAATTTGAAAGTGTCATGTTAAAGCACTTTGTTCCTTTGCATCTAATTGCTTTATGTTATTTTAAAAATATTTACAGTCTATAAATAGTATTATTCTTCTAGCTTGTAACTTTTTTTCTTTTTGCAGGAATACCAAAGTCTGATCTTCTGCATACAAGATCATTAAGAGGACACAGAGACTGCTTTGAGAAATTCCACTTAATAGCAAAGCAGAGTTGTCCACGGTCAAAACTCTCCAAGAGTACATATGCAGAAGTGAAAAACATCTTGAGCAAAAAAATTAACTGGATAATACAGTATGCACAAAACAAAGATTTGGATTTGGATTCTGAAGGTTCAAAACAAACACAACACCGACTTTTTAGCTTTAGACATCAGAGAGAAAGAAAGCTACTTCCACAGTCTGATTCCCAAGTTCCTAAATATTCTGTAAAATGGGTAGATGGAAACACTGGAAGTATTTCAGACTGCTCACAAAATATTCTAGAACCAAGGGAGCCCAGTGATTTTAGACTTGATATGCTGCAACAGACAGATGACACATTTGGTTGTAGTGATACATCGTGGCCTAATCGTAACCAGTCATCAGAGATGGGAAAAACTAAAAAAGATTTGGATGCCAGTGCCCAAAGAAGACATCCCCAGTACAGCAGGGAACAGTGTAAGTGGACAAAATGGTGACATTTGTATATCAACTCTGAATGCTGTTGTTGTTGTTCTGCAGTGCTTATTTCTTTTTAATAGCCTTAAGTAATTGAACATAAATGTCTGAAATGTATTGGAAATGGGAAAAGACAAAATAAGAACTTGTTAGAATAGATCTAGTAGTTTTTAAATACCCTGTGGTACAAGGAAAACTTTTCTTTTGAAATTACAGTGCATATCTTGTTGACCTTGCTCTGACTCACAAGAAGACTGTACATCTGAGGCACAAATCAAGTGTACAAAAGCTTATGTTACCACCTCTCACACAAGTTTGGAGATGATTGCATGCCCAAATAAAGTGGTTCTATCCCCGATGGAATAGGGTCTCATTGTGGGTTGCTATCAGATATTATCAGATGCCAAGATGTCACTGCTGCTGCTAGGTGACTACAACCTGTCTCCCAGCTGCACTGAGCCGGCTGATTTTCAAGAACGAGAGATGGGTTGTAATCGCCCGATGGCAGCGGCGGTGTTTTGGTGTGCGATAGTATCCAATAAAGCAACCTTATCCCGTCTGGGATAGGACGCTTTATTTGGGCATGCGATAATCTCCTTTGTCTCCAAAGTGCTACAAGATCCCTTTGCATACTCATATTCCAGACTAACAAAGCTATTTCTTTGAAGAAGAATTGAGTTTTCCCTAGTTTAGTGATTAGTGATATAAAACTAGTAAGCAATTACTTTATTTTAAGTTTCCTAAACTAATCTATAAAATCCAGCATTTTGTCCATGTGAGCATTACCCAGCAGAGTAAAGTTTATTTTGGGTAAACTTATGTAAGATTGTATTGTTGACCTGATATGCTGTTTGCTTTGTACAGTTAGTTTTAGAATGACAAATGAAAATCTTACATTTATTGCATTTAGTTTTTCACTCTTCAGTGTGTGATATTTTAATAAACCCTACATGTGGAATATGTTAGTTGTTTTGATTTAGAACGAACAATGAATTAATACTAAGGAGTACAGTGGGCTCCTTGATATTGGCTGCAATTTGGTTCCAGGATTCTCCCACCACCACCACAACCACCACCACCACTAGTCTACGGATACCAAAATCCATGGATGCTCAAGTCTCATTATATATACAATGGCATAGTAAAATTGTATCCCTTGTATAAAATGACAAATCAGTGTTTGCTGGGGGGGTTGTGGAACTGATGATAATGATTATCATTAATTTGAATATTTTCCAGGCGTGGATGGTTGAATCCATGGATGCGGAGGAACAGCTGTACATAGCTCTTTCTTACCCTTTACATAGCTATTTGACCCTGATGTGGAAGCAAGCATTGGAAAGGAATGTTTTTAATAGTGTTCTAGGGTGCCCCTCCTCTTGTCCTCTCTTGTTGTCTAACTGTTAACAATGCTTTGTGTTTCAGTGAGTGTGATGACTCTTAGAGAGGTGGAACAGCTGAATGAAATGCTACTCAAACAAGTCCAGGGTAAGATTAATTTTAGTTTTAACACTGCCTTGTCAGCAGTTACAAAAACAATAACAATATAAAACAATATAAAACTAAATTGTTCCTACTGTTGAGTATAGAAAACAGTTTTCTCTTTTTCAAAACAGGTGGGAAAGAGTTTAGATTTTGGCAGTTGATATAAAAATAGTCATCTCTCTCTTCTTGGAGGGCTAGGTTACAAGAATACCTAATGCAATAATTTTCATGTTGTTTTAGTGTCTTGTAAATGAATCTATACAATTGCAAACTCTTAATGAAGTTTTATTTTACAGTCATAGACTAATTGGATGCCAACATTTATTTCAGATGTGTTTGAAGAACTGATTGAGCAAGTAAAGGAAAAGGACTCCTTGGCTTCACAGCTTAATGGCCGTCACATTGCTATTGAGCAGCTGTTAAAGAACTGTTCAAAATTACCATGCCTGCAGATGGGACGGGCAGGAATGAAATCGAATATGTCTATATAGAAGAGCAAAACTTGCATTTCCTAGCATCATGGATCTATCTCATACAGTTGCACATAGAAGCAGTATTTTGGAAAACTTGTATGTATTACATGATGCAGAGGTAGTTGCATACAGTATTTTTTAAAGAAGAAAAAGCATTTGGGGGACTACTTTTGACTCTGGAAGTCACCTTTCCCCATAATTAGCAGTGTTCTTTGCAGTCACCGATGATAAGTGTTTCAATATGGCTTAACAAAAAAGACTTCTAACTTGACTGTAAATAACCATGGAGATTCAGGCGAAATGCAGGTTTTAGATATCAAGAAATGATGGTGAAACCAATATTCATGAAATTTACATTTTTTATTTATTGCAAGCAATATTTTATTACTGAAATTTTATAAAAGAAACAACTATTTTATGTACTTTTCCACATCTCTTTATAAAGGTTTTGAATAATTATGAGTAACATTTTGCCTTGTGTAATGATTGTTTACCCTTTTTTCAGGTCAATGTACTTATATTTCATGATGGAAATTGTTTTAAAAAAAACCTTGTTTCCCAAAGACACAAGCTCAGTGGCTGTAATACATTACTTTCTGTTTTCAGCAATGTAGAATTTATTGGGCATGGATTGTATCTTAATAGAAGAAATCTAAGCACACCACTCTTTTTGGTATGACAGTTCATGTTATGTTAATATATGCAGAGCTGGAGTTCAGTTTTGTAAGTGAATTTCTAATGCTTAATAAAAGTATATGGCTTCAAAGGAATAAACCTACAATACCTCATGAAAATAATTGCCTTCTTCATCCTTTATGCTTCTTGTTATAACTATTGCACATAGAGATCCCTCCATATAGATATTTGTATGCAAAGAAAATAAAGGAGCTGGCATCCGTGTCTTACATATCTCATTACTAGTAGTTACTAAATTGTGCCCTGCTCTGAAGAGGCCATCTATTCACTGAACATCAACAAAGTTATTGGGCGATGGGCTTGAGCCCGTCCTGCTGAGCATTGCTAATTTGGAAGGTTACAGTTGTATATATATTATAATAATAATAATAATAATTTTTATTTATATCCCGCCCCTCTGCCAAGCAATCGGGGCGGCGTACAACATATCAAAATATAAGAACAAATAAAATCACTTCAAATCCCATCCCTCCTTCCCACACCCACCCAACCCCTGAAAGCAAACCAAACTAAACGGATTAAATAACAATAATTAAGCAATTCAACAATAAACAATTAAACAATAGTATTAAAACCCGCCGGCATTCTCCTTGGCTCCGCACCATCCCCAGCT